TAAGTATTGTGTGTAGTGTAATGGAGTACTAACTCATATTAAGTGTGATGTAATGGTATAAGCATGGTCTGTACTGTAACAAGGTTTTTCAGGTAAATTTATTACAATATTGAAATCATTTGTCTTTTACAGTCATTTAGAAAACCAGATATAAATCAAACCCACACTTCAAAGAAGGGGGTTGTGAAGACTGTTTTACTGCTTTTCTTCCTTCCTCTCTCCCATCACTTTTTTATTAGAAACTATAAATCACAGCATCTTGATACTTTGTGCCAGGCTTAATGCGGATATGTTTTTCTGCCTAATTTTATTTTAATTCTTGTATTCTATACATTTCATATCCATGGCATGTCCATTTCCTAAAATGATGTGTAGTATTATAATCATGAAAATTTGTTTTATAACAAGTAAAGATTTTTAATTTTAATTTTAAAATTTCAATTTGAATTTGTTAAATTTGTTAGAAAAATTTCAAACAACATTTTTGGTGTCTGTTCATTTAATATTACTGGAGCTATTTTCAAAGTTTGTTGATACAGTATTTGAATTAATATGGGTTTAAATTTAAGAAAAAATGGTTTTATTTAAATTACAGGCCCCAAACTACCTTCCGCCAGTAGAAAGAATGTTATACCTACCGAACAGCCTAAAGGAATTCAATCATGTAAGTTATATATTTGCATTTAATAAAAAAAAATCTTGCAACCATTATTATTTTTATCTATGGAAATTTAGGAAGAATATTTGTGGAATAAACAAAAATCAAGTTCTATTCAATATTTATCTTTTATTACATAACAACATGTAATTTTGAAAAGTTATATTTTTGTTTTACAGTTTTCCAAGTCAAAGAGACCTTCCTTGCTCCTCCCCCAAAGCCTAAAGCTTCAACTTCGATGCAACCATGTAAACAGATACCAGGTAGTAGCCTAATATTACTGATTTATGGAGATCTGTTTTGAGAAGAACGTTTCAACAAATTCTAAATGATACATTTAATAAATTGCATAACCCTTGATACATATTATTGATATATTCAGACAAAAATGAAATGAAAGGCAAAATTGTTCTTTTTATATTTAATATGATGTCCATTATTAGACAGTACTTTTTTAAAGTGTATATTAAAGGTGCACATGTCAAATTTACAGGAGTATTGAACTAGTGGTAAGTGATAAATGACACATTTTAACCACCTTTTCCCCCTTCACATCCTTATCCTTACCTGTGTAAAAAGAACTGTTGAAAATTGATTTTTTGGACAGGAAAGCTAGTACATACCGTATTTATCATAGATGCATTATCATACTGTTTCCTTTGTGTTATGTTTCTGTTTTAGACTGAATATGCCATTGTAGAACTGTTAAGCCACATTTCTTTCACCATATTCTGTATTACCTCACATTTCCTGAACCTCATCTATTATTTTGAATCTCTTTTCCATAAATCTGCACATATATACACAGGGGTCAAATATGTTAAAAACTTTAAACTTCTTCGTCTGAATAACCGAAATGACCAGGGTGATGATATTTGGCCAGTAGCATGCTGTGATGAAGGGCTACCAAGTTTGTTCAAATGAATGACCTTGACCCACTTTCAACCTAATGTCCTTGTTCGACTTTCAAGGTCACAGGCGTCATATATTTAAATATTTTAATAGGTTCTTATGAATCAAACACTGATATTCTGTCTGTAGCTGTATTTTAGTCCACTTTTAAGATTACAAGTGTGAGATTAATACCAGGTGAGTGATGCAGGCCGGCCCATTGGGCCTCTTGTAATTTTATTGAATAGTTTAGTATACTTCAGTAAACAAAATATATTTGGTAACATATAAAGCATTATTTCAAACAGTGGTTATATAATGTCTCACTTTGCCATCACAAAGTTTAGAAACATTCAAAATAGAAATGATCTGTCTTACTTACAGATGTCATGGTACTCTGTACTTGTCTTTAAAAAAACGTGAAATATCCGATGGAAATATCATCTAAATTAATATAAACTTTGTACATGCATGAGTAAACAGTTAAACTCATATATATATATATCTATACACCGATTCTGATGGATATATAGTTACAGAACGAAAATAGTTATATGAAACAATTGTAATGTGCATGCAACTGTAGTAAAATGTGATTATGAAAAAAAGTTGAATAAAAATAAAATAAAAAAAAGTTTAGAAACAGAATACTCTTATATGATAGTGACGACTGTCAGACAAACGTGTTCTTGTATATGTGGAAGAATAAATCTGTAACGAAAAGTATTTTGCTAATAACTTGCTTGCAGTTTGTACTATTTAACCATCATGCTATGTCAACGTAGTGAAATATATTTATCAAGTTTTCACAAAGCCCTCATTTATTATCTTGCTATATTTGTAGCTCATTCACTGTCGAAGCCTTCCATAGAGTTGTCTCCTGTCACACCACCATCATCTTTGGATAGCTTTGGTATGTGAAATATAAACCTAAAGAATAGTATATATTTTTGTCCTTTATTTCTAGTATGAAACATTGAATTAATAGACATCATAAGCTACATACCTTTTTTAGAATTATATATGAAATTATGAGACAAAATATCAAATGATAAGTGTTTGGTGTTGATATATCCAGATGAATAGTCTGATATGTTAAAAACATATCCTTAGTATAGTGTCAGCTATGACTCCCAGGAAACAAGCTTAAGTGCCTGTTTTTTTTCCAGTTGGTGTGCAGTCTGAGCCTCTACAGGAGTTGGTTCCAGATGGAGTGCAGACTGAACTACAAGAGTCCAGAACTGTTATTTCTGCAACAGGTAAGATGATGTCTGAATCAGACAAGTTGTTTAATATTTATGTTACATGACTATCCCCTTATCTTTATATGTAGAAAATATAACAAGGATTCAATTGATGGTAAGAAGTGATAACAATTTTGTCCCCTCTCTATCACTTCAAGTCTTGAAGCATTTATCAATTAGCCTGCTACAAATGGTCAGCCTATCATATGTTATGTAGAGCCTACAACTTCATTATGTGGGGCCAAGTTCAAGGTCACAATTCCAGGTGAAACTTCAGATTCTTGCTAGTATTTTTCAGGATCTAGTTTATTTGACTTCGGTGAATATACACATAGATTTACATAATTATGTTTCATAATTATTTAAGTTTCTTTGCTTGATATTTAATGAAAATGATAAATAGGTAACTATTATGATTTCTTATTAAAGTATTACATTTATATTTTCAGAGCCTGTGTTGTATGGAAAATGGAAGACCACTTTACCCAGAGTTGACCATCAATGGGTATCGAGGGCGTTTTTTGGCCTGAACTCCAACAATAAATTGGAATTCAAAGCTGAGAAAGTCTGTCAGCTATGGAACTATCCTCCACAGCCAAGTCTCTCAGGAAATACCAGGAACCGAACTGACAGATATTTTGCTCACAGGCTTTTCTTGTGGATGCCGTTAAACATTTGGAGTGTCCAGCTGCTTTGCCCACATGAAGAAGCAGACAACGAATTGTACAGAGGTGTTCTTACAAGAGCTGGGATGCATCAGAAGACCAGACTTGTACTGGACATCGACTGCTTTTACAACATGGCGACAGAGTATCTGCGGTGCTCCAAATGTGGCAAAAAGGTATGTACATAATATTCCATAACTCATGTTCTTACATTTATTATAAGCTATGTTTGAAGAGAAATCAAAATAAAGGCAATGTAGTTACAAATGATGTAATCAAAGTCCTTTCTTTTGCATGTTTCATAATGCTGTAATAAAGATTATCATAGCTGGTCCAAAATTATAACCCCTCTGACAACAATTCATGTTTCATTTCCATAGAGTCATATTCTTTTCTAACAAAGAAATATTGCCCTAAAATGATGACTTCAAGTAATTTTGAACAAAAAACAAATGGTCATTGCCTTCCCAAATAAAATAATTATTCTATAATAGATAATGAGTAATATCAGTTACCTATGTCAATCTCAGAATAATGGTATTTTCTCATAGATGGTTGCCTGGGCCCATAACATTGTCTCCCAACTGGATAGAGACAGGCAACTGCTGTTTCCTGCAATCCTGACTGCAAGGTACTCTTGCGACAAGAAAGTAGTTGGTTTGTTGCGTCAGAGAGGGCTAGGAAACAGCAGCAGTATGGTCAGGAGACAGCTGGAGGAATCACATGGCGACACCTACCTCAGGAATGTCCACCACTACCTGTCAGCATGTAGGACCTTCAAAACTGCTGGCTCTGTAGGGCTGGTGTCTGCCAGTAGCATTGAAGAGCCTCCATCGCTAACTCCGGTACCACGACACAGGTGGCTGATGAAGGTTTACCAGCTAGATGTGGTCAGCGTCTTAACTATGTTAAGGCCTCCATCACATCACTGTTTGGGAATGTAATTAAACTGGACTCCACTAAAAAAATCACGAAAAAGCTAGCAGGTAATGAAGAATTGAAAACATTGTTTGTAATTTATACAGTTCTTTAAAATTCAATTAAAAAACTTTCACTGAAACATATTTTGCTTAAATTCAAAATACAACACCTATAGACCACTATTATAGTTCAAGTTGTTGGACTTCCTAGAAAAAATATCCATGGAAAGCAGATGTCATTTGTCATATATGAAAATCGCCCACTAGTATCTTGAAACCTATTTTCCTTGTTTTATTATCACCTTTTTAATTGATCTATAACCTTTTTGCTTGCATGAAAGACTGACTTATTACACATATTTTTTTTCATTTTCGGAATATTCACTATTCATTCTTTTTGGTTTGCAGGAAGAAGTGCAAAGACTGCCATGTGGGCGACAAATGTGGGTAACGAACATGGACAAGTGATCATGTCTGTCCTCACCGCTAATGAAGGTCAGGGTCTTGCAAACATGATCACTGGACTATGCCAGCGTTACCAGGAAGCGAATGTATCGCCACCACGACTGCTGTATGTCGACAGAGACTGTTGTGACAGTAGTTGTGTGTTGAAGTACTTCAACAACTGGCCATTTCTTCTTGTGAGGTAAAGCAATCAATTCATTGATTATAAGACTTTTGCTAAATTGCAGGTTATAATGCAAGAATACTACTACATGCTTGAATCGTTAGGATATGAAAATCTTTTATATAGATCTTCACTTGGAGAAAATATCAAAATATGTATTTGTTAGATTCTCAAATATAACTTGAATTTGGTTTGAATAAAAACCAAAGTGTGACAAATGTGAAGTTGATTTATTCTAAAATATGTGAATCATAACTGAATAAGTTGAATCATTATGCCTAGTTGTCAGTGTCTCAGAAAGAAAGATCTTGGGATACTTCTTGCAGAATTGTTATGTTATGATTTTTTTAATAGGTTGGACATCTGGCATTTTATGCGAAGACTGTCTATTGGCTGCACAACTGATGCCCATCCATTGTATGGCACATTCATGGGTCGTCTCAGCCAATGCATCTTCGAATGGGAAGAGAAAGACGTTTCGTTGCTGAAGAGGGCAAAGAGGGCCGAGATGATTCAGCATCATATTCCTGATCCGTCAGATGCTGATGTTGTGCGCCACATTAAGTCTCAAGAGTTGGCTTCACACTGCCGAAGGAGAACCAGAGGCACAAAGGAAACAACGACTCTGATTAGTGAGCTAATCCACTCCATGGAGGGAGACAAGGGACTGGACATCCTTGGAGTGCCACTATTGAATACTATAAAGATGCAGGAGATTTGGGCTAAACAGAGTCAACATGTTCCTTGCCTTCAAGATCCTGATGGTGTCCAACTTTACACTAAGGTTTGCACTGTTAGGAAAGGTGGTGTGGAGCTACCAAAGTATCGCTGTGCCAGAGGTTCAACCTCATTGGAAAGTTTTCATCTCCACATGAACAGATTTGTTCCAGGTAAAAGTAACAACATACACTTTTTTGGCACAGGTATATTCAAATGTACATAAATTTGATATTCCAAATACGTCGCACATTATGGAAGCCTTGGTGTTCACTGACAACAATCCATTCATGCTGTGATAAGTTTCATTCTCTAGGTTTCAAGTTACATTATTATGAATAATAATTTGCTTGTAATTGTACTATTACAATCATCAGCTATTATCACTATTATCAGCTATTGTTCATGTCAGCTGATAGCAAATAGAGAAGAAACATTTAGTCTGTGTTATTACCTTAAGGGCAATTAGCAAGTAAAGCAGAGGATTCAAACATTTATGTATAGGCCCTACATATTTTCATTTTTATACATAAATGATATCGTATTGCTGAGACTGTCAGTTAAACCAATGCATAATTTTATCATTGAAAGTATTTTAACTTTCTGCTTACAGGATAACTGAACCTATTCCAAATTTATCTTACAGGTACC